CCTACATCATTAACTCACAAACACGTTGAATGGTTATTTGATACACTGTTATCAGAATTTTCTGAACTAGTCACCTATTGGTCATTTAAGTTGTTTCTAAATCTGCTTCTGTAATAATGCTACAATGGACATCGCTGTACAAAGTACTTTACTACCTTCCAAATCATTGCCATGAGTAGAATTACTGAATCGAAAGGTAAGGAATGAAAGGCTCCCAGTTTTGCCAGATTCCTCTCCCCATGCCCACTGCACAAGCTGCAGGAGAATACCATCCTCACTGTGCCTGCCTCAGCACTAGGGATCTCATTCTAAACATCTGCTCTAATTTTGTGGCTCAGAAAAATCCTCATATCTTGTAGCGATTTCACTTCGTATCCTTTTGATGATTATTGGAGTTGAGCAGTTTTTCTAAATATTTAGTTGCCATTTATCATTTCAGCTTCAGTTTTAAGTGCTGTTACCACGGCGCTACCCTGAGCTTTACGCGGAGACCATAACTGGGTGGTGAGAGATGCCTAATGCACCAACATCCCCTGGCCCAGGACCATTAGGGCTGCTGGCAATGGACAAGGATTCCCTGGGCAAACACTTAGCTACTCTAATCCTGAGCCAAGTCAGCACCCTGAGCTGAGGCTGTCCAGACCTGAGAACGATGTAACTGTAATACAATTCTGCTAACTATTCCTGGCTCCAGGTTAAAGGTGCTCCCTAGTGCACTACAGAAATAAATCCCAGACATGCTGGACTCATGTCCCACCCAAGAGAGCCTGGCTGGCAGGAAACCAGGCCCAGGGGATGGAAAATTTTCTACCCAGGGCTTCCTTATGTGTGACTGAATTAATTTTTCTTCACTCTTTCAATCTCCCCAGAATCCCTTCCACATAGGTACACATTTCATTCCATGATGCCCAGAGCTGACTGATCAGGCCTGGGGGAGAAGCAGGCTCTTACTGTTCCTTATAATGGGCTCAGTGGAGGCCTGCCCACGCGCAAGGGACGGGGAAGTCTCTGAACCCAAGGGGACTACACACACACACACACACACACACACACACACACCTATTCATGAGACCCAAGGATAGTTCTTGGAAAGGAGCTCTGGGCTCTGCAAAGGCTGCAAAGTACCAGGGGGAGAGCTCAGGGAGAAGGGGTGCAGGGAGGTTATGGACGGGAGACAAGACAAAGGGAGAAACTCCTCTCACCCTGGCAGCCTTGCTTCCATGGGCGGCAGGTGCCAGGCTGTGGGTGCTGACGGCACCGCCCACTTGCCAGAAGCAAACCTCAGCACCCTTCTCCTGACCTTCAGTCGCTCCCCACACCATCAGGACACGGTGCGACCGTGTCTGCTTCTGTGCCTCCTTCCCTGCTACTGTGGAGTGTGTGTGTGCGGTTGTATGTGTATGAGTGTGTGATTTGTGTGAGAGTGTGCTTATGTACGTGTGTCATACAGTCAGTGTATGTGACTGTATGTGTGTGTGCGGTTCCGCAGGCCACTGTATGTGTGTGCACATGTGGTTGTGTACGCAGTTGTGTGATTGTGTGTGTGAGTATGTGTGTGAGTGTGTGTAGAGCGGCATGAGGAGTGTCCCCTCCCCTCCTGGAGCTTGGATCTACCTGCGGTCAGCACCTGTTACAGCCACACCTGGTCACAGTCCCCCCCTTCCCCATCACCTGCTTCTGGACACACCCCACCTGCTCCAGCCCCTTCTGCCTCTTCACAGCCGTGCTGGAGCGAGGTAGCTGCTGAGGGAACCAGCGCTGGGGAGACAGGGGCTCCTTCCTCCCGTGACCCCCACTGGCCCCACTGAGGCACTGCAGCAGCACAGCCCCAGGGAACCCCTGGCTGGTCCAAGACAGGCGGGACTGGGGAGCAGGGACACTGCCATCAGTCACACAGGGTCCTGCCCTAGAGCCGTTTCACAGCTTGGAAGCTTTGGGAACAGGCAGCCTGGGGGATGGAGGGGTTCACGTCCTGTTTCTCCAACCCAGACCAGCAGCCATGGTGAGGAAGCTGTACTTTAGGGGCACACAGGGCTCCCGGACCGTGCCATCGCGTATCACGTGCACTCGGGCCCGCTGCGGTGCTGACGTGATGCAGGAAGAAGCCAGGGGCTGAGTTCTGGAACAAACCCGTGGAGACCCAGTCTCCCGTGGGCATGTTGGCCACCCAGCCTCAGCCCCCAGCCCCTTCCTTCTCCGACTCCTGCAGCTTTGCCTGGTAAGGACAGCTCAGCCCTTTTCCCTCCTTCCTCCTCCTTTTCCTGTGTTTCATTTCGCCACCCCAGGTTGATAAGCACTCTTTGTAGGCAGTGGTTTACTTCTCATCCTTTATCTATCGGTATCAGCATATATTTGTGTGAATTTCTTTGTGATTTCATTGAGGGGTTTAATTTCTATGTCGATGAATGTATTTCTGTAAGTTAAGTATTTTTGTGAGTGTGAGTATGTGTGTGTAAAAGTGTGTTCTGTAATTCAAGATGTTTATCTGAAAAGCATCCTTTCCTTCATTCACTTACTCAACAAGTATGTCGTGAGTGCCTGATGCTCTCCAGGCACTGTCTTATTAGCATTTGGGATGCGTCAGAGAACAAAACAATGACTCCTGTCCTCACAGAGCTTACATTCTAGTGGGGAGAGACAGACAATGAATGAGAAACATATGTAAATTATGGAACATGTTTGAAGGGGATGAGTGCTATGGGGAAATAAAAACAGAGCAGGGTGAGGGAGAAGGGGAGGGTCAGGGGAAGGTGTTGTTGACAAGGGGACACTTGAGCAAAGCCTTGAAGGAGGTGAAGGAGTGAACTGTACAGCTCCACAGAGGAAGCATCCCAGGCACAGGAACAGACTGTGCAAAGGCCCGGTGGCAGGAATGTCCCTGGTGTGTTTCCAAGGCAGCACGGAGGCCTGTGTGGCCGAAGGGGAATGAGGAGGGGAAGAGTGGAGGAGATAAACTCAGGAGGACAGCAGGGATCAGCCAGTGTGAGGACTTCGGCTTTTTATTTGTGGGTGTATATTTTGATGGAGAGTGGTGAGTGGGAGTGTTTCTAGGGTGTATAAAGGCATGTACTTCTGAACAAAAGAGAGCACAGGTGTGTACATGTGTGTGTCACTGGCTCTCAAATTGGGCTCAGAGGACTGTCACCTTACGTCCCACCCTGTTTTCTGTCCCCAGAGGCTGTTCTTTTAGAAAGCATGTGCTGGGAGCCTAGCTCTGCCCACGCATCCACCTAAGTCCCGCCAGGTGCCCCTTCCCCACCAGCAACATCAGAGCCTCGGTAAACGCCAGTGAAATCAGACACGCAATCTGGGCTGGGAGCTCTGCAGGACCATCAATGCCTCTGCCATTAGAGGCACAGCCTCCTCAACTTCCCTTATACTCACTTAGTCTTGATCTCCAAGTCTTCATGGCCAGAGTGGCACATTTCACTGAAGCGAGACACAAAGAAATCGTAGCTCCGATGGTAGGATGGGGTGTCCTCCTCTATGTTGGCAAACTTCACAAACTGTGTGGGGGGAGAGGGGAAATGCATCGTGAGGTGACCCGCCATGCTCGTCGCCTTTGGGCTCGGGGACCTGGCATCCCCCAGGCCCTTTGCCATAGTAAAGCCACAAGAAAACACATCTTAGGAACCGTGCATCTCAGGATCTGGCTATAGTCCACCTCCCAGAGCACACTCGGGAAATCTGAGTTTCTGAGTTCTCCTTTCCTTTCTACACAACAAGAGCGGAACCCCTGGCCCTTCTCAGCCCTCCCCTCCTGGGTGAGCAGAGGATGGAAGTGAAGAGAAAGAGAAGGGGGCTCAGTCACTTAAGTTCCTCCTCCCATTTACATCCAGAGCTGCCCCAAACATACAGGCTGAAAGGCTGTGAGGAACAACTCTGGAAACTGAGCAAAAGCCAAGGCCAAAGCACAGAGCACCACCCTAGAATGCATTCTGGGAAACCAGGACAGTGCTGAAATTTGATTTAAAACCGTAATTACGTTTTATTGTTAAAATTTTGAGTACACTTTTAACGTCGGCAATTTCAGTTCATTAAGCCTTGCTCAGCATTCTCAGCCGCTAGATTTCTTCTGTCATCACCATGCTGCACATTTGCAGCTCTAAATAGGGACTTGATTTCAAATGAGTCTCTCAGAGAAGCAAGAATCACAGACTGAGTGGAGTTAAATTAATAAAAGTTAAATATAATTTTTATAGGTTATTTTGTTTAATGTTATGAATTTAATACCACAAACTCTAAACGGACTAAACTTAGACTACATTCTCTACTATTCTGCCTTGTATTATTATATAATTTTTACAAACCTTCGTTGGTTCAAAGAGGACATACTGTTATTCCTAAAATTATCTCATCAGCACACTCATAATATTCAGTATCAATTGTCAACCTGTTTCCCCATTTAACTACTTAAAAGTTGTTAACTTTTTTGGGGGATGAAAATTAGCAACTTCCACAAACATCCTTATTATTACAGTGTTTTGTTCTTGCAATAATAAATATGCATTTATTTTCTGCTGAATCATAAAACCTCAACATGCAAAGCAGATAAGGAAATCTTCCCTTCTAAGTTACATCTAAAATGCACACATATATGTGGAAGTATTCTTTTTTTTTTTTTTTTTTTGCGGTACACGGGCCTCTCCCCGCCGTGGCCTCTCCCGCTGCGGAGCACATGCTCCGGACGCGCAGGCTCAGCAGCCATGGCTCACGGGCCCAGCCGCTCTGCGGCATGTGGGATCTTCCTGGACCGGGGCACGAACCCGTGTCCCCTGCATCGGCAGGCGGACTCTCAACCACTGTGCCACCAGGGAAGCCCGATGTGGAAGTATTCTGACATTAGCAATAAACCCAAATGACATTGCTTGCATCATTGATGTGGTTATGCAGAAGAGGCATAGTGGTAATCCATGTGATCACTAGATCATTGATTAGACCCAAGTTCAGGAGTTCCAGAAACAACGATAGAACTGGCCTTTGGCTACGTGATCTTCCTAAGCCCCACGGGCTAGAACACAGACTTAGGCTGATACCGAGGCTGAAACTAAATTTGGGTGCACTGCTGCTCTTAACCACCAACAGGATGTTCCCAGGCTGCACTCCCCACAGCCAAAGCCTGGCTTGGTCCATCCACTGAGAGGGGTCATGCAGCTATGCGGTTCGAACCGCAGATCTATCTCCAACTGGTGTGGTGACCTTTGAGTGGGGCATTTGACTTCTCTTCTGTCTTGGTTTTCCCATGTGTGAAGTGAGCAGCCCAGGCTTCATTCACTACATTTCTTTATTTTTTTATTGATGCTATACCTACTTCAAATATGATGAGACAGCTTAAGATAAGACTATGTGTATACGAGAGTGCGTGCATTTCAGAATAATCAAAACAAGACTGAAAAAGAAAAGAGGCCAGTAATAAAGGCGAAACAGTCAAACAAAGACTTTGTCCCTAATATAGAGTGACTGTGTAAACCCAAATGTATGTCAGGAGAATGAATAATCAGACTTCATGGTCACTGGTGTAGGAGTTTATGGGCTAATAGCAATGATGTTTAGAACATATATGTATCAGGTACTACCCTAAGCATTTGACATACATCAGCTCTTTTGTTTCTTAAAATGCCTCTAAGTTAGAGAGATATTATTATTCTCAGAGAGAATTATAAAATATTATTATTTTACAGAGAGACTGAGACCCACAAATGTTACATAATTGCCCAGGGTCCTGCAGAAGAAACCACGAGCCTCTCCAACAGAGCTCTGCCCAGAAAACCTCCAGCTCTGTTCCAGCTCCTGGCTTCCTCTAGCGCCTCAGGCCAAATGACCCGGGAGAGTTGCTCTGGGGAGGCGAGGGTGGTGGATATTGTCAGGGAGAACAGAGGATGAAGAAACGGCCAGAGGGGACCTTAGTCTGGCATTTTTAAGAGGGCTGCAGGAGTGCGGCCACTGGTTTCCAGACACTGCGGTACAACAGAGTTGAGGGGTCTCCGTGACCATGTAGATATCTGCCACAAGCCCCAGACGAGCTGAGTCGGCCTTGGAGGAGATTCACCTGTTAGACGGTCTGAGGCTCACGCTTGAGAAACGCAGCAGGATCCCTGACAGGCAACCTGGCGGCCTCCCTGCCCTCCGGCCCCCCTCCCCACGCTGAAACTTCACGGAACGATTCCTGATCTCTGTGGACGTGACATCAAAGCCTCTTCACTTATTTTTTTGGCTGCGCCACGTGGCTTGCAGGATCCTACTTCCCTGAGCAGCGATCGAACCCCCATCCTCGGCAGTGAAAGCACGGAGTCCTAACCACTGGCCCGCCAGGGAATTCCCAAGCCTCTTCACTTTCAACCTTGACTTTCCCCTTCCTCCAGTGCCGTGGAACCTCGAGGACTGGTGGCCCGTCAGGTGGCATGGCTGGAGCCCTGTTCACGCCCAGTCTGTTCTGACTGTTTTCCGCACTGTACAGGCTGCTGAAGAGTTCGACTACGACGCCCTGGCTGCAAGGTTAAAATGGAGATTACAATCAATTTCTTTTAACTAATTAATTTTATTTATGTATATTGGCTGCATTGGGTCTTCGTTGCTGCGTGCAGGCTTTCTCTAGTTGCGGTGAGCGGGGGCTACTCTTAGTTGTAGTACGTGGGCTTCTCATTGCAGTGGCTCCTCTTGTTGCGGAGCACGGGCTCTAGGTGCAGGGGCTTCAGTAGTTGCGGCATACAGGCTCAGTAGCTGTGGCTCGTGGGTTCTCGAGCGCAGGCTCAGTAGTTGCGGCATGTGGGCTTCAGTAGTTGCGGCACACAGGCTTCAGTAGTTGCGGCACACAGGCTCAGTAGTTGTGGCTCGCAGGCTCTAGAGCACAGGCTCAGTAGTTGTGGCACACAGGCTTAGTTGCTCTGCGGCATGTGGGATCTTCCTGGACCAGGGCTCGAACCCATGAACCACTGCACCACCAGGGAAGCCCCAATTTTTTAAAAATGGAACATTCTGTGATAGCCACAGAGGTAACGCAGGGTAGAAAACACGCATGGGGATTGCTTTCCTAGAACTACAGAGGCTTTTCTCTAGGCTGGCCCAGCAGTCACTCCTGAATCTCCCCTAGCTGGGCCAGCCACAGCTGCTAAGCTCACTGGAAAATTCCCTCACTCTTTTCTCTCGTGACGCTCTGCATCCCCAGAAGACTCTTCTAGAGTCTTCTTCCCTGGAAACTTAGTTTTGAGTCTCCTTCTCCATGTTCGATTTTAACATGATGGTGCTTCTATTTATGTGGACTATACTCGCCTACACCTGCTGGGTCCACAGTCAGACAGCCGTGTCCTCACTCTGCTTCTTGTCACCTGTGTTTCTGTGGACATCGTTTAACTTCTGAGCCACTGTTTCCTCATCTGAAAAATGGGGGTGATGGGGCCTATGCCACGGGGTGTCACCAGGGTTAAACGAGGGGATGTATGCAGAGCCTGCCCCAAGGAATGCTCAGGACCCTGCGCTGCAGTGAGCATGGTGATAGGGGCCTTTAATGGTCTGCTCATCAACTCCGGTCCTTGGCTCTGGTGCAGTGTGACCCTTGTCCTTTCCAGCCAGGCAATCACAGAGGAGGAGCCCAGATGGGCAGCGTGAACCATGCAGGTGGCCATGCATGATGCCAGGGGCAGATGTGAATATGGAAAGAAGGAAATGAGTTAACAGCCACCCCAATGAACTGGTGTCCGAGGGTGGGAGTTGAGGATGGTGGCAGAGGGCAGGGAAGTTGGAAGATGAGGGTCAAGCCCCCTGAAGCACCATTCAGGAACCGAAGGTCAGTTAGTGCAATAGGATGGAACAGAGCCCAGCACCTAGAGACAAGGAGGTGGGGCTCGATGGGAGCTCGGGCAGCCGGCACAGCAAAACCGGGAAGATGTGGCCGAGCATTTGTTTTCATCTCTTTAAAATGCATATATCACCTCCTAGGAATGTGAATGAGGTGGAGATAATTAAGAAAAGCTCCCTGAGTTCCTGGGATAACAGGAACTGAGTGAATTCAAGGCTTACTGTAAGTGAGGTTCCTAGTTCTAAGAGGCTTAAACTTTTTACGGTCCGGTAGGATTCAGCACCGCACAGTCGTGGAACGAGCGTTTGCGGGTCATCAGAAAAACAGTTTCGAATATGGTTATTGTGAAGCATGTTTGTTTGTTTTGACTCATACTTTGTTCCGTCGGGAGCCTTCAAAATATTCCTTGAAGAAGCTATTTATAGACACGGGAGTTTGTGTCTGGAGGAGCCACACCAGGCCTCGTGCCCCATCTCTAACACCACGTGTGGATGGCAGCACTCTGCAAAAGAAGGAGTTAACGCCTATATTCTGAGAAATAACAACATTAAATATTTCTATGGCACTTTCAGCTCAGGCATCATGTTAGTTTCCCGGGGCTGCATGCCTCCAGTCTCTGCTTCTCTCTGTACATTGTTTCCTCCTTTGTGTCCAATCTCCCCCTGCTTCTCTCTTCTAAGACCCCTGTGATTGCATTTAGGGCCGACCCGG